CTTGTTTTATTAAATGCATGAAGCTTGACACTTTATATGCTTTTATGTTATTGTTAAACGCATGAATCGGAAGATCGGTTTAATAATTAGAACTTTGGTAGAAGAAGCTTTGATGTGCTATCATAGGAATATAGTTAGCCTCTTAGGTAGCCATTATTGAGATCTATGCTTAATGCCATGTTTTAGATCTAATTACGTAGGAATACATTAATTTAATCTAGAATATTAGAATCGTAATACACGGGAAAACGGGTTATGATTAATGTAGCATCTCAGGTTAATAATTCGAGTTAATTACTTGCATAATTGAAGGAATTTGGGAATTAATAATCACATAGGGGAAGATAAAATCCTAGGGCTTTTTAATTTGATTAATCTTTGTGTTATTTGCTCTTGCTTGTTGGTATTTGCTTTTTAGTAATTTATCTAATTTAGGAATCTTCTCCAAATTAGACTGTGTATGGTGGGCTTGAAGCCTTGAACATAATTGTGAGAATCTAGTGCTTAGAATTAGATAGTTGAATATTCCCCGTGGGATCGATATTCAGACTTAATTGTCCACTATATTACTTGTACGAAAATGTGCACTTGCGTGTAGGTATTTGAACCAACAATGATGATGAAGAAATAAATAAATTTGAGGATGAGGCTTTGGCTGAAGGTATACATGTATGAAATTGGTGATTAATTTGAAGAGATCGAGCTAAGTTTGCAGAATATGATGTGATGGAAGAGACGAGAGAGAGAAGACTATAGTGTGTGAATGGTGGAATTCAGTTTTTTTCTTTTAGAGTAATTTGAGCAAATAGTTAATTCAGAAATAGTACGACACCCATCATCTTCGTTGATTCCTCTTATTAAATGCATTAAATTTTGTAGAGGAAATTCAACTACCAACTTGTCACTTGTGTAGTAGTGTAGAGGAAAATGATTGATATCACATTTTCTAAAAGAATTGATACAGTTTTCAAACTTGGATCCTTTCTTTCGGTAAATTTTAGAAAATGTTTTAAATGCTATATTTAAAGGACAAATGGCAAATAGGCCCATGACAATGGCACTTAATTAAAAGAGGGGTATCCAACTTTTGTCTTTCAAATAAATCCAGCTCATTCAAACTTATTTGCAAATAAGGAAAATCCCTTTATATATACCAAAATTACCCCCAATTCATTGAAACCCAATTCAACTCCAATTTCATGATTTACACCCCAATTTAGCCCAATTTCATCAATTAACCAATTTTAACCATAATTTCAATTTTGACCCCAATTTTGACCCGCCACCACCAGAGACCGCCTGCCGCCGCCGTTGACTTTTTTTTTTTTTTTTTTTTTTTTGAAAAACTTTTTTTTCCCTGAAATTTTTTTCCGGCCGGTCAACTGTCGTTGACCGCCGGGTCTCCGGCGTTGACTTTTTTTATTTTTATTTTTATTTTTATAATTTTGTTTTTTCTTAAAAAAATATTTTAATTAATAGTACTGTCTTGGCTGCTAAATTACTGTCTCCGGCAGTTATTTAACTGTCGAAGACAGTAATTTAACTGTTAATTGACTTTTTTTTTTCTTCAAAATTATTTTAACTAATATTACTGTATTCGTTGCTAAATTACTGTCTCCAACAGTTATTTAACTGTCGGAGACAGTAATTTAACTGTTAATTGACTTTTTTATTCTTAAAAAAATATTTTTAATTAATATTACTGTATTCGTTGCTAAATTACTATATCCAGCAGTTATTTAACTGTCGCAGATAGTAATTTAACTGTTAATTGACTTTTTTATTCTTAAAAAAAATATTTTTAATTAATATTACTGTATTAGTTGCTAAATTACTGTCTCCAGCAGTTATTTAACTGTCGGAGACAGTAATTTAACTGTTACTTGACTTTTTTTTTTTTAAATTCTTTTTCTTAAAAAAATTTATTTTAATTAATACTACTGCCTTGCCTGCTAAATTACTGTCTGCAACAATAATTTAACAATCTTAGATAATAATATTAAGAATATTACTGTTCGGGAAAATAATATTCATAATATTACTGTCCCAAACAGTAATATTACTGTCTGAGACAGTAATTTAGTAGCCAAGACAGTAATATTAATTAAAATATTTTTTTTCTAAGCAAAAAAAAAAAAAAGTCAACGCCGGAGACCGGCGGTCAATGGTGGTTGACCGGCCGAAAAAAAAAATTCAGGAAAAAAAAAAGTCAACGCCGGAATCTGGCCGGAAAAAAAAAATCAGAAAAAAAATTATTTTATGAAAAAAATAATATTTGGGGGTTTATATGATATATTTGTTTAAATCCGGGGTCAATGTGTAATATTAAGGAAGTTAGAGCATAATTGATGGAATTGATAAGAATTATATAATGGAGAGTATTTTAGACTAAAGACATGGAGTTGGGTTTAATTGAGAGACTGTTTTTTTTGTGGACCAAAATGCATTTAAGTCCCATGTGATGGGCCTTTTTGCCATTCGCACATATTTAAATAGGGGTTATTAGTATAACCAAGGGTGTGCAGCACCAATAACATTATACACACTAAATTATTTGTATTTGAAATATATATTCGTTATTGTTAACGATGTTCATGCTAATTATAATATGAAATTCAACTTACAAAATTTTAGGTTAATGGTTGTCAAGCTTTTTATTGCTGCGATCCCGCAATTTGCGACGGATTTAAACACATAATTTAGGTTTGATCAAAAGAATAAATGCTCTGCAAGCCCAAGTTCCACTGCAGATTCCTGTGTTGTTGGATAAGATAGCATATTTGGAGTTTCTATTGGAGTTGAAGAATGATGAGTAATCATCTGGATAGTGTGGAGTTGATAACACTAAATCAAGGAATATGGTACTCATCTTCTTCTTCAGCCTCAACTACCTACCCCTCTCCAGAGCCGTCGGTGGCGGCACACAAAAATAAATTACAAATATATTTTTGAACTTGGAAATAAATTATAATTGAACCCCTTTGAAATTTTAAATGTTACCCACTTCTCCTTGAGGGTATTTTTGTCTTTAACATGAACTATCTTATTGGGACCCCTATGCACGGGTAAAATGGGGATAGACTAAGAAATATTTCACGAAATCTAAATGATTTTGTTCAATTTGACACCGTAAGAATGGACGTGTATGATGGCTACAAAGTACACCCGTGGATGCAATTATACTAAAAAGGGATTTTTATAATTATGCCTCACCTCAGGGGTGGTTGTAATTTACTCATTTTTCTTTTAGCCTGTCCAAAAATGCAAAATAATTGTTACTTTTTCGTCTATTTATTTTAGAAAATAGAGTTGTGCAGTTGAAAAATGAAAAATACGAAAGGAATTACTATAACGAAAAAGTAGAGGAAATACAAAACAAAACCAAAGAAATATAATAAGAAAGAGAAAATGTGCATAACTTTTCATTATGTTATAAAGAGAAACAAAAAATCGCATTCTGAAGTAGGGGAGAGCATGATATACTGATTAAATGCATTAATTGAAATATTAATAATATTGAAATATCGATAACATTTTTAATTTATTAACCATAAATAGTAACTTACTAATTAAGGGTAAAATAAGTATCACAAAAAAAGTTAAGAAACTAAAAATATTCATGCTTTTAAAGGTACTAGAACTAGAACTAGAACTAGACTAGACTAGACTAGACTAGATAGATGCACGTGCGTTGCACGTGTCGTGTTAATTGAATCTAATTCGATAATCTTTTATATATACTTATTATTTTTTTTTTGATTGATTATATATATTTATTCACTACAAGAAAACAAATATTTTGCGAGCATAATATTCATCACGAAATCGTTTTGTAACAATTTTGTTTCGTTACCTTGTTTGTCCTCTAAAGCCCAACGCTAGAAGTTTTAGTAACATGTATCCCT